CCCCAAAACCCCAAAACCCCAAAACCCCAAAACCCCAAAACCCCAAAACCCCAAAACCCCTGAGAATTCAGAATTATTGAGGGATATAAGTAAAGAGCTAGTTTGTGTTGTCACCGCTGTTTATGCTAAATGTGTTCATCTCAATAACTCCTATAGCTCCTCTTTGAGGTCGACTGCGCTCTGGATGATGCTCTAAAGATCATTTAGGTGTTTACTCTGATACATCACTTTAAAGTGGTTGTTCTTGATACTAAAATTTTGGAAATTCTTTGGTCTGATCTTAGCATTTTGAGTAGAAGGTCTCTTATTTTCTTCCTTTAGCCAGCCAGATGACTATAATAATAACCTCGTCTTACTGCTAAATGGGATCTCTTATTCGAAACTGAGTAAGGTCTGAACCTGTGATAACTTTTCGGCCTTGTCAAAATTCGTTTACTTAGGCCAAAGATTGTAGGTTTTGGGTTCTCTGATGGAATTAAGTTAACTAATTGGTCCGTGTTGTTCTGGAAGAACGATAAAATTTTAGACCATTTCTTCTTCTTATTTCTCTATAGTAGAATCTGCTAGTTGGTTCACTATAATTTTAGAATGAAAATTCACTGATTTTGTTTCCATAAATTCTTTCTTTACTAGATTTCCGTGGCCTGAAATGAAGACTCGGGCTGACCAAGTTTACATTGTTTGAAATGTTAGTGCCAAGCAGAATGGTTGAGTTAGTTGGAGGGCTCGCCATTCTTCCACGAAATTCTGCATTATTTGGCACTTTTCAGATTCTTCAATTTCTTAATCAGCTGATAAGTGTAATCAATATCTATGATTCCACTAGCAGTCAGGTTGAGGTTAGAGTATTTTTGAGGAACAGACGAATTGTTGAGCATTGACTTCCGAGATTTCTGGGCTGACTTCCTCTTCCTAATCTTCAACTTTTCTAAACAGATTATTCGTCTAAATGTACTCTTTTTAACAATTTTTGGTCTTTGCTTGATTTCATCTGGGGAGAATTCTTGCTCTTTACTACTTTCATTGATTGGGATTCTAAAGTCAAGACAACAGTCTTACCTAGGATCAAAGTTTAGATTGGTATAGGAAAGTCTGCTTAGATTTTTCACCTTCTTTTTAGAATTCGTTATTCCTGCCTTTTGAGATATTGATAAGTTAATAAAACTTTTATCTTTGATAAGGCCATCTATTGCTTTATTAATTTTCTTCTTCATATTTGCTCTGATATGCTCATCTGATTCATCAGAGTTCTTTCTGGAAGCATCTGGGTGGTACAGCTGTCTTGGGGCTGGTAGACCTTTGTCATATGAGGCATTGTTTAGCATTATTTTTGGAATCCTCTTTGTCTAAAACCTTGTTATTTATTGTTACCAGCGAAGAAGTCTCAGATTTTTCTTGCTCTTCGTTATGTGTTAAGCTCTTAATTTTACGAAATTTCTTATGAAGTCTTTTGATCTTATTATTTTGGGATTCTTATCCTAGTTCTCCTTCTTGAGATTCTTCGATGTCTTCTACGTGATGGAGAACCCCTTCTTGAAGATTTTGGGATTGACTAAATTATTAAAAGAGAATTCTACTTGATTTTCAGAAGCCCTTAGCTCACTCAGATAGGTAGGTGCCTGCACTGATTTCTCAGTCATTTTCACAGATGTATGTTTAGAGGCAAACCTCGTCATTTTTGAATGGAAGCTTCTGACTGAAGACTTTGATAGGCCTCTGAAAGGTTGGATATTCTTCTTACTGAGATACTTGTTCCTCTGTTGGTCGTTGCCATTTTTGGGACTCCACATTGGAGTGATGAAGTTATTTAGCAGACAGTATCTTTGACTTAGACATATTTGATCGTTCAGCATCATCTGAGCTACTGCTTACTGACTTATTCCTATCAGAATTCTTAAAACTAGACTGGTTTGCCTCACTACAAAATTATGAAGAAAAAATACTCATAGATAGAAATCTTGGACCAGTGAGGAATATTCCTTCTACTGCAAGATTTATTGAAGGCTGAGCTTCTTGTAGGGAATAAGAGATAGTCCTTGCTCTTGTTAAGCAACCCAGATAGTCTTTTCTTATTTCTTCTCTTCTTTCTCTTTCTCCCTTTTGAATGATTCTTATGGATCCCCTCAAGGTTATCTAAATGAATAGTCAGGAGATTCATTAAAACTATATGAGAATTTACCGAAATTATTTTCGTGGTAAAGATTTCTTCCTTTTGAGCATTTTGATCCTTTTATGTGAATAATGCAAGCTATTTCGTCGCTCGTTAGGCTTCAAGCAACCACGAAGGTCTCTTGCAAGAAGATTCTTTGTGATATTCGGCTTAACTTGTAGGAAGTCTGGTTCAATATCCTTGAAATTTTTGTATTTCCTGACCCAATTTTTATCAGTACTAATAGTTGAGGAATACTTGCTGATAAAATCATGGAACGCATCATCACAGACTTGGTTCCCGATTTCTCAGACCTCAGAATTTGTTGGCGAAGGCAAGGAGATTGATTTTGGCTTCTCAGGAGGTGGAGATGGTGATGAAGTGGAGACTGTGTAATTATACTTAATATTCCTACTTTTTAACCCTTAGAATTTACCTTAATACTCTCTTAGCCATCCTCACAGCTGCAGGGGAAAGGCTGTCCTCTTTTTCTATCTCTTTGCTATAGGAGATAACCTAATAGATTACCCTAGTTTGATTCCTTGGTGATGGAACTGCCTAATGTCATGTGAGCAAGCAGATAATGATCTTTTTAGAGTTTTACATTGTCCACAGAACATTTCTCCTGTTTATCAATTCCTATAATTATTCCATCGCGGTTTACTGCTAAAAATCTGGTGAATTGTATCATTATCCAAGGATTCCAGCTCAAGTGTTCTTATTTTGCCTTTCAGGAACAACTTCAGGACATAAGTCTCAGCTAAAGTAAAGGTGAGGTGCTACATTTTGGATAATAATTCACATAAAATTTCTATGATTTCCTATAAATATATAAATCTAGCCATTATGGCATTAAGGATTGGGTTTGAGGTCCATAGTTATGGATTAGTCTAATACATCAATGCTAGCAGTTTGGCTTACTAACAAATAAATTGAGCTAAAATCTTACCGAAATTATTCTCTTCTCTAGTATATGGGGCTTTACTGTAGACCCAATAAGAGTTTATCGCTGATTGGTATAATGACTGGCAGAAGTTCTTGGCAATTTTGGGGTATGATTCATCCATTTATTCTTGAAGTTTAGCCAATTTTAAAATATTTTTCAATTATTAATTACAATAAAGGGGTTTTGGGGTTTTGGGGTTTTGGGGTTTTGGGG